CAGACCATTAAGCAATTTCGCGTAAGGTCTATTGAGCCTAATTGACTGGTTGCTATCTTCTTTCTTTTTTTTTTTAACATGGCAGCTGTGTTTTCCGCCTTCCTCAATAACTTACACTTTGATATATTGAAAGCTTTTGGCACGGTGAATCATGCGAAGGGAGACGCCAAACTAACCGGAATGAATTTCTGAAGGGCAGGCCATTTTTATCACCATCTTTCGCTGCTAGCAGCGCTAAGCAGCACACCAGCCGAGTGAGTTTGCCGAACGGGGTTGCCTGTTATAAGTACTTTTCCCAGGAGCTTCAAAATCATTTCTCGTTTTATTTTTGCAATGTCTGATATGAAGGACCAACGTACTGCGTGAAACTGCGTTTTTAGAAAAACGGCGGCGTAAACTCTTGCAATGCTTCAGAGAGCTTATAAAGAAGATACTGATAAGAAATCGTAAGTCTACGAGTGGCTTCCTCGCTTTAAGGCCGGTGAGGTATTGATTGACAACCAACCTCATTCAGGGCGGCCCTCAACCTCCTCAACTGATTAAAACATCGAACACATTGGGCACTGATCACTCCGAGTTTGTTCCTCTTGGTGAAACTGTTAATCAGGTGTACTCAGTAAAGCTCAGTAAGGCAGAAACGCACGCCCTAATGTGAGGGAAGGGGTAAATGTTAGTTCCATCTTGACAATGCCCTTTCACGCAGTGCCCTGTCAGTGGAACAATTCTTGAGCAAAAATGGCATAACATCGCCTCTCCCCCTCGCGTATTCAACAGGCCCTTCCCCTTTAGACCCGCGCGTATGAAGAAAGTCTTGAAAAGAAATCGTTTTGTGAATGTATAAGGTCCTTCAAATCAGAATTTGCAAAAACGTGGAATCATTTTGAAGCGCATGGGGAAAAAATTCAAAACGTGCCGCTGGATCCGTAGCAGACGACGCCGGTCGGCGAACTTAATCAGAAAGGGTGCTGCTAAGCGCTGTTAGTCGACGAAGCTGGTGCTACGAACGCCCCGCTCTCCTGAAATTCATTCCGGTTACTTTTGGGTCACCCTTCGTACTTTTTTTTTTGTCGTTGAAAATTTGCTTCTATGGCCGAGTATATTGCTTGGTGTAAGTCATATTCCTTTTTGTGTTATACATATTTCCCGATATTTTTTTTAGAATGATGAGATAACTGCAGTGTTTCATGTCTTGATTATTTATTGTGTTTCAAATGCACACATAACATTGTTTTGGGCTAAATGTCCCCTGTTTTCATGTACGTTTATCGCTTGTTTCATTTTCAAGGGTGCCAATAAAAAGGGTGCCAGGTTCTTTCTGGCTTCAGAGAGTATCATTACTACATTTATTATAGTTTGATAGCCCAGTGCATGAAAAAGAAACCTTTTCAGATATCCATTTTCACGATGTTTCAAAGTACCCACAAGGTTTTTTTAAAACGTTTAATTATGTTTAAAGGAAAATATTTCCAATATAAAATTGTATATCAGGCTTGAAAAATAAAAGAATACAAACAATTGCCACATGAACACATTGTCTCCATTAGAACCACTTTAAATATATATATAATGTATAGTTTTGGTTAAAATTTCCTAATGATTTCAGCTTTCCGTACTGCTTATATAAAGTGTCCCAATGCTTGGAATGTGTCAAACTTTTGTTGTCAACAGAAAACTGAAATATTTAAAATATTTTGGTAGGGGTGTTTATGTTCTCTGAATACAGTGCATGACATGAAAAAAATCTCGCCTATGCAAGTTGTTTTATCTAATCGTACCCCACCACTTTTCTTTCCTCTTTTATTCTTATTTTACACAAGGGTCCTTTAAAGTGGAGCGAGTAGGGTGACTCATCGCTGAGGCTTATACTGGCTGTGTGGTGAGGAAAATAAAAGAAAAAGGGCAAAAGACATCTATTCTCGAGCACTGAATTTAAGAGAAAAAAGAACTAATTGAACAATACAGGACTAAAAATTATATTACTTTAGTCGATTGCTGAGTACGAATGCCGAGGTTGTTGCAATTCGTGCTCCTATTACACACGTGGAGCGAGCATAGGGCAACATGGCTTGAGAAGCATATCACTTCGCTAATCTGAAGCCGAAACTGATCGGGAGCATGCCGTCCGGCGTTCTTTAGCCGATCAATTTCATATCATGTTGCTGTTCGAAGTGCTAGATTAAAAGAGGTATCAAGCCTGCCAATATAAATACACAAAGCACTTGCATACCAATATTACTTGTATATTCTCTGTGTATTTATCTAGTAAAGAGTGGCACTCGCTTGCCTAATCACTGTCAGAAAATGGTAGGGCATATATACAAATCGGGTCGGTAGGGTGGGTGGAGTAGAGACACGTGAATCTGTTGAATTGGAGTTATATGTGCCTTGCTGGTACATCTGACATATATGTGCCTCCAACAGTGTTGGGTATGTTGGTTGGTATTCGAGCTCTGTGTGTGCTGCTGTATGAGTGGTCGTCTCGGGAAGTCTACAAAAATAGTCATTTCCTCTCTTTATTTTAGCGCCATCTATCAATTACTACTACATTTTCTAGGTTACGCAAGCTACCGCCTGATTCAAGAAGCTTAGCGTTGCGCAGTCATGTATCTATTGATTTACAAACACCTGGCCTGCGGCCCACTGACCCCCTAATTCTCAGTTTGACAACAATCGTAATAATTGTGTCACTCAGTCACCTAAATGCTCGTTCTTTGTCCAAAACCTGCGAAGTGCAGGCACACACGCGCACGAATGGATAACCCTGTCGGGAGAGGTAGGCACAAACAAAAAGACACAAAAACAAAGCGGTAGCGTTGGTGCGAGTTGAATGTCTCTCGTCGGGGTCAATGAAGGTGCCCAGCGATTCATGACCGCATAAGACAAGCATACGTTGTGTTCAATGAAGTCAGCGCGCCCACTCCTCGTGTAACGATTTGATTTTTTTTTTTTGCGTTTTCCGCCGGCGGTAAAAATACAGTCAATCTAGCGACATGCCGTCGGGGGCAATCGCGGCGATTCCGGCACACACACTGCCGTCCTTACAGGGTATAGGTACGGCACTGGTGTCTGGGGACGGATGTTTAGAGTGTCCGATGGGGTTTACGAGGCGTCGAACAAGCGTATTCGCTCTATTCGCTCCCTCGACCGAAGAGCCGAGCTCTTCGCTAGGCCTTACAGGGGAATTCGAGCGTCGCTAACCGGTCGCCATGTTGCTTTTGGGGTAGTCAAGTTTGACTAAGTGCTTTTTCACTCCGCATGGGGTCGTCCATTTTACCCTTGGTGGTTGTTTTATTTGTGGTAACTTTTACCACCCCAAAGGTAGTCACGTTGAGTACCTTTTTTCTTAGAGCGTGGGACCTTTACTGATTCATATTTTTGTTAATGGCCTTTATCTTTTTATAAAACATTTCGAATTGGACACGTTGCTGCATGACATTAAAACCTGCAGACACATCACATCGAATGTTGATTGCATTTTGCAAAAAAACATATCTGAAATCTGGTTATGGTGTGATAGGCAAAAATTGCGATAAATAGGAGAAGAAAGCTTGTCATTTTTTGATCCCGCGAGACATTTGTTCTCGCTTTTTATGTCCTAGATAATGAACCGTTACGTCATGTTTTATTTTGTGTGGTATTTGGGCGTTTTTTTTTTCCAACCTTAGTTTTGATGCACATTTGTCAAATTTAGGCAATTCATGCTTGCGAATTTTAGGTTTGTTTCCGAAAATATCCCTGGATTTTAACGATCCCTCGTATCTTGCTAGGCTTTGCACCTCTATTGTTCGTTCAAAACTTGAGTTCGGCACCGTGGTCTGTAAATGTCTGACTGTGGCAGGCTCGGAAAGGTTAGAACACTTATGTTAAGATGAGGTTCGCGCACATTGTGGACCACCGTTAATACAATCGCCATGTTTGCTGTTTTTTGTTTTGTGTGTGTGTTGTTTTTTTTGCGAGTTAATGCTTCAAAAATGAATTTGCAGACATTAGTAGCTCAACAAAAATTTTAGACTACGTATTTTTACACAAAGTAGTACATGAAACATAAAGTTGTTCTGTATTTGTGTATTTGCTCTCGTTATCTGTTCCACACGTGAGCAATCGCAACTCAACACGTTTTATGTGCAAGACCCATGCTCACTTTTCCCCCTTTTGCCTATTCAAAGTGCTTTAAACACACTCAGTGCGGTAGTTGGTACCTTCTATAGTGAACGCTCATTTAAAAATGCCTTAAGCATTTATCTTTATTAAGGTCAGTGTTTTTTTTTTGTTTTTTTTATGTGTTTATGTTTATTTGTTAATTTAGTTTGTTTTCAGAGCGTATTTGTGTTATCATCTTTGAGGCTACGACTGTTCCTGGACACAGAAAAAGTGAAAAATACAGTCCTAGCATTTATTGTTATTAGTTATTAATTAATTAATTAGTTTCTTTGTTCTGCTCATGAACAGCTGATGCCTTGGTAATGATGCACAAAAAGTGAGATCACAAACTAGTTAAAAGCTACTTAAACGCTAAAAAAACATATATACTGCTATAACACACCTGCTCAAGGTTTGTCAGTAGATAAGTTACCATGTTGGTAAAGATTTTATGGAGTATATTGATTATTTTATTTAGTCTTGCGTAGCGTTTATTTCAGTTGCGCCATAAAACCAGAGTATGTCATTATTATACAACACAAAACCAATTTTGTGTGCACATAGTTGCTCAACCTTATGCGCTGTATTTATCTGCCTACATATGCGTTGTGCTGTGAAAGTGATATAGAGGTAAATATGCTACGCTCTTCAAGAAGTACGTCGCTTGACTTATATTTTCATAAATATGTATATCTTCTAACACGCCTGCAGCCGAGCCCCCAAAAATGAAACGTTGGTCCTAGTGGTATAAATATTATCACGAATTGTACTTTGTGATTTAATGTACCAAAAAACGTACTATTTTAACAAACGTATATCACTTGTCTTCTAACATTTACTTGATCTGATTCTATTTCTAGGCAACAGATGACCTCGAACATTATTTTCTGCTCAATGGGATCGATGTTAAGTACTGGATAAGAAGAGTTGTAAGAAATGCCATTATTATCCTAATCTTAATTGCGGAGATATATAGATCGGTACGTCAAGTTATTTTGTCTGTACAATATCAATCATTTTAACACAAATAATTATGTTATAAATTGTACCGTTATTATACATATAATCAGGTTCATAACATCATTACCCTTAGTTGGTAAAATATCTATTTGGCGATCAGGAAGTCCGAAAACGTTTCAAAACCTGGTGGGTACTTCATCTGTGCAGCTAAAAACTAGATAATCTTTAAGAGTGTATCCATATATTTCAGCAAGAGCCAATATTAAATAACTTGCAAGAGAGCACAATACCGCATGACTCGCGGTAAATACCGTACCTAAATTTGAATGTTTTTTTTTTAAATGCCGTACTTTTTTTTTATGAATATAATAAAGTGTCACTAAAGATTACGTTTTATTCTCCAAAGACGTTTGGAACTGCAGTGATGAAATCTCATCGACAATGACATCAGCAACTCAACTAGTTATCTTAATGTTAATTTTGATGTTAATTAGATTACGAAAAAATGTGACTTGGATCAAACAAATCGAGGTATCGCCTTCTCAATGTGTGCAGAAAAGATGGTAATTTTGTGACCCGTGATATACAAAGTAAGCCGCTGAATGCTTATTTCTCAATATTACCCCTTTAATGAAAATATATGGCACTTCAAAGTCACCACAATAAAGTGCTTTGCAACAATTTTATTTAATTTCATTTCATTTGTTTATTTTCCGTGCTCAATGAAACTAAGAGGAAGAGTGAAGAACAAACAGTAACACTATGACCCTTCGCGCGATACCATTGAGATGGCTATCCTTTGAGGCACATTTTGACGTCACGCATAGTACTCTCAAAAAGAAAAAAAATGTTATTTCATAAGTGACCGATGCCATGACATGGCGTTAATCCTTAGAAGGTTTCAGATACGCCAATTTTTTTCTAGCTATTTTGGTGTCCTTATGTGCCCATTGGTAATGCTTGCTCAGTGTAGAGCACGTCCTATCTCATCAGGAAGGCGAAAAAATGCGCTTTCACATAAAGGGCTAAATTTTTATATAGCTGAAGGCCAATCATATATTTCGCAAAACAAATAGCCTTGTTTGCTCGAATAAAATTATTTGCAGAATGTATGCCTGCCTTTAATAACTCTGTTTCACGAACAACCCTTAGGAGAAGGAGCCTAATCTGAAGACTGCATTGAACTTTGATAAAAGAAATCCTTTTGCTTACGTGGATGGAGCAACTAGTGCACTATTGGCATATTTTGAAAGAAAGAACAATCCGGATATTAACGTCCTGCTAACAGGGTAAGTGGAAACAACTACTGTAAACGACAAAATTTTCGCGAGGACCTAATTTTCGCGAATTTTGCGAATTGCCTACAATTCGCGAAAATACGTCCCGCGAACAATTCGGACAATGTGTGGACGCTACGGAAGCTACACTCGATTTGCAAAAATTAGAACCCCCGAATAATTTCGAATTTTCAGCTTTGGCCCGATTCGCGAAAATTTGAGCCCGTGAAAATTAAGTCGTTTACAGTATACATTTTGTAATGTCTACCACATGCGTAAAAATCGGATTTTTTTTTTTTTCAGAATTAAGTTGTACAAGGGTTATGATATAGGAAACAGTTATGGTGAGCGCATTTTATTCAAATATTGTAGAGGCGAGGCTTTAAGCAGTTCCTGTTATTTGAAGCTTTTTTATGGCCCTTTTTTATGGAAACGTCAAGTGTGACCAGATACCGTTAATTTTTTTGCCTCGTGTATTTTTATGCTTTGCAAATTCTCCATTATTCGTCTTATGTATTATTTCCACTTCTTTAGAGTAATACGTGCAAGCCTGGAATAGTGATCAAAATTTAATTAGGCAAAAACTTCGTTTAAATTCAATTTCCCGTCATATAGTGTGTGATGAACAGATTGGGTTGTTAAAGTGGAAGAAAAAAGCTCACTTTCATTATTAGATACATTATTTTAAACAGCTTCATGTATAAAGCATTTACCTCGAAACTAAACGCGTAGCTTAAAATTAATATTATAAATAATTAAAATAAGTTACAATTACACTTCTAACCGGTGGGGTACTAGTTAGAATTGTTGATAGAAAATGCGACACAACACTAGCAAAACGTCGCCGCTTTTTTTCATATTTTACTTCGTCTGTGTACTAATGAGCGCCACAATTTCACTCTGAGAAAAAAAAGGTATATTCTTACATCCCTTGTCCGATATACGAAACCCCAAAACTTCAGTTGGACGTACAGCCGCACTGACGTCCAGGGGCGGATTTAGAGGGGGGGTCCGGATGTCCTGACCCCCCTCTTGATATTCTACATGTGTAAAATTTATGGCGTGAAACGAGGGTAAGGGGGAGGGGGTTCCTAACATAAGGTACGCTGACCAACACCTAACCCCCCCCCCCCCCCCTCAGGAAATTCCTGCATCCGCCCCTGCTGACGTCGAACCTTCATTCCCAACTTTCAGAGGTGGCTTGATAGCCGAGTTGTACAACTTACTGGAGTAGTTAATGTACGTGTTATCGACTGCAAAAAAAGTAATCGAGGTTTCTTTTGTATTGCTGCAAAATCTCAGTGTTTCTTTTCTGCAGTCTTCGATATGTACTTTAGCTATTTAATAAGGTATATCTCACCGTTATCAAGCACCTCGTAAAAGTAGAGGCCGTCCGTTCGACGTCAGCGTGCTTTAGGTCGCAATGAAGTTTTAGGGTGTCGTATATGGGACAAGGGGTGAAAGAATATACCCTTTTTTTCTGGGAGTGTTACTGTTTAATGTAGAGCTCCAAAATTGGCGTTTTTGAGGGCGCTAACTTTGTTACATCATAACTCTGAGACACTCTGAACATACTAGTGTAACGGTGTCGCCTCGAATATAGTTTCCACTGCTCAAGCGCGCGTAATTAAGTACAGATACAAAGCATGCGCCTCTGCTAATACTTTGTTTCACCCTTAACATGCCCTAACTACAGGAGCTACAAGAGGGAGCAAGTAGCTTAATGACCCTATACAGATTTGCATTTGAGCGCGATGCGTTCTATTGATGCAGGCGGCTGCAAGACGTTGCAGAAAGCATCGCCGCAAAGCTTGCGCACATAGTCGCGTTGAAACGCACTTCACCACTGGCAATAGCGTACCAGAACACGCTACTGTAGCCTGCGGCTTACCAGTAGTAAGCGAAATCTACAGCAACATGGCGGCCCCGGCGACAGCGTCGACAGCGTCGACGTGACGAATGTTTTGGGGCGATCCCGCTAGCTTTCGTTCTGTCCAACTTGAACCATCGTGGCCTCGGAATACTCACATAGCTCGGCATTTTAGATTCCCTTCATTCACCATCACATCACGAACAAAATCGCGTCTCCAAATTCATTCGCATTCACGTCACAAGGTACTCCAACCTCCCAGAGTCGCGGTCCTTCACATCCTGGCGTTCAACCGCGCCAGACCTTCATCCCCTTCACATCACGGCTTTCAAACTCCGCCGAGAATTCATCCCCTTCACATCACGTTGTTCAACCGCGTTGAGAATTCATCCCCATCGTAGCACCGCCGCCTCCAGGTTCACGGAGTCATTCACCATCACATCACCAATTCACGAAGTCATTCACCATCACATCACCAATTCACGAATTCATTCGCCATCACTCCGAATTCATCGGAATTCACCATCGTGAATTCATCGGAATTCTCCATCACATCATGAATTCATCCGAATTCACCATCACTTCACAAATTCATCTGAATTCACCATAACTTCACGAATTCATCTGAATTCACCATCACTTCACGAAGTTATTCACCATCACGGTCAACACGAATTCACCGGAATTCACCATCACATCATGAAATCCGCATAATTCACGAAGTCATTCAGGTTGACTAAATTTAACTTCACTGCTGGTAGTCCTTCACGAATTCGCAGTTCTTGCGGAATAGGACTGTGGCGCCTTTTTGTGTCAGCCACTTGAAACCAGGACCTGACTCGACGAACGGCCACCGCGCTGAGGCGCGCACGGCTTCGCAGCGAGGCTGATGCCTAAACCGCTAAAGTCAAATGGGTCGCTGTCGTTTGCGGTGGAGGATGAAAACAACCAGCAAGCAAGCAAGCACCTGCGTAACATATTTTCCGCCTATTCTGAATTCATAACCATACTCACTATCACGTCGAGAATTAAGTTCACGATATTACTTCCCATCACAAACTTATCACGTTCACGAGCCACTCACATCGCAAATTCATCGTGTTCACGAGCCATTCACCATCACGTCACGAATTCATTGAAACATTCACATCACAATGAATTCTATTCAATTCACGAAGTCCTTCACAATCGCAACACATCACGAGTTCATTCAAATTCACGAAGTCATTCACCATCACATCACGACTTCATTCACCATCACATCACGAATTCATTCACCATCACATCACAACTTCATTCACCATCACATCACGAATTCATTCAAATTCAGTCATTCACCATCACATCACGACTTCATGACTTCATTCACCATCACATCACGAATTTATTCAAATTCACGAAGTCATTCACCATCACATCACGAATTCATTCAAATTCACAAAGTCATTCACCATCACATCATAATTTTTTTCCATTTTAAGAATTCATTCAGTGCCATTCAGATTCACGCCGTGAATGTGAATGAAGGTGAATGAGCGAGTTCATGAATGAATTTGCCGAGGTATGCCCATCTCCCGTACTCTTCCTCACTCCTCAAAATGTAAAACCAAGACCTGCCTCCAAACGTGCACACTGGATGCACGTTGCTGAAGGGCGCTGGCGAGCTCATGACCATATCTTTCTTTTCTCGGATTCTACTCTCTCGCAACGCGTTACTGAGGGGCGCATGCTGGCGCGCGACGCACCGCTAGCAACTGCTCCCTGCCGCAAGCACGCCGTTTCGCACACAAACACATGCAAACGAAAATGTGTGTATGGCTCTTGAGACTCATGCTCCCTCTGTATCAGCGCTTGTGCACCTAAGGTACGATAGAACGCCAAGAGCTTTGCATTCATTTTCTGTTAGTCCAAATAAAAATATAAGACGAGGTATAGTGGCTCGCACTTCGCTTGCACTTACAGTATTATACGACATAGACTATGTGGATATTGCATTTTACACAAAAGGGGCAGCGAAAAAAAATGAGCAGGCGATTTTTCTATTGTGTTACTTATGTCACGCTTTGTACTATCGCGGGCAATATGAGCTGAAACAATCCTTCATACTACCGTGGTGTGTCAGCCAGTTTCTGAGAGAGTTGCGATCAAACTCGAAATGAAATGCGGTGCTTATGACTCTTTCATCCGACTATTTTTACAAATGGAATAAAATAGAACTGGTGGGGACCGGTGGACGCAGACAGAATTAAAATTTGGTGTCTTAGATCATAGTGTTCAGGGAGGTACATCTTGGAAAGATTCGAGCGTTTTTTTCTGCGCTTTAATAGAACTTCGATGGGGTACAAGCAGGGAGCACAAAATTGCGAAGAACGCACTGAATGTCATGCACATGCCACACCAAGGCGTGTGGAATATGATTTTGATTTCTGATTTGATAGGAAGGTTTTGGTATGCGATGTGAGGCCACTTCATGGTGATTAAGAATGTTTGAGAATATTGAGTTTATATTTCGGAATAAGGATGCATGGTCTTCTAAGAAATTGGCTTTATAAAGATGTCATTAAAAGTATTATTGCATGGAAATTCCTTACATAAGCAAAATAGTTTGTGAGTATTACGAAAGCTTGAGTGATAAACTTCCTTCGAATTTCACCATTTTAGGGTATTCCGAGGACAAGACGCTGTGCCAAAGTTTCGTGCCCATGTTGTTAGCATACGCCCCCGACAGGCCTTACAGCGTAGGCAGAATGTTGGCTGAACTGATCCGAAACAGGTGCGTATAAACCAAAAAAAACCAATAAGATTCCTAATTCGTGTCCATAATAGTTTAAGTTAAATTGCTTTGGAACAGTTAAAAAAAATTAACTGAACGCGTTTAAACATTTTAGGTAATATTTACATCAACTTATTATTTTTAATTTGAGCTAACAGCAAACAATGCATTAACTAGCAGCGATAATCCGCTTGCATACATAAGCAAGTGTTTATCTGCGGTAAAGTTATTACATGTTTTATGTTGCTTCACATTTACACTTTCTTAACTTACTTTGATTCTTCGCGTCCAGTTGAGAGAGACACACTGCATTGTGCGTCCCTTAGCTTCTTGGACTTGTTTTGCCGTTTTTGCACTTTTAGGAGTGAGTTAGTCTTACTTTTGATAAACTTTTGGCATTCCATATATGGAATGCCAAAAGTTTATCAAAAGTAAGACTACTTTAAACTTTAAAAACTTAAAAAAAAAAAGTGCAACTTTAAAACCAACTTTAAAAAAAGTGCAATACATATATGTATTGCACTTTTTTTAAAGTTGGGCGCGCTTAACGCGTTTGAGAGGCTAAATAAAGCAGGGGACACATGAGCAAGGAAAACGGGCGCCGCGCAGCAGCGCGGGGCAGTACCCATAGCAACAGATTCTGGCGTCCTACGTCACTGCTGTATAGTACGCGCCTCGCAGCGTGGCGCCGCTCGAATATCGTGGGTCAAGATATTTGCGCCCGGTGCGCCTTGCGGCGAGCGGCCGAAAAGCAAGTATTGTGTTTGAAATTTGGTGTTTTAGGTGTTTGGAGTGCTTGGTTTTCTTCCATTTTTTCACTAATTTGCGTTTAGTTTGCCAGAGGTTGAGAAGATGGGCGTCAATGGACGGGGTAGGCGGTTGTGGTTTGGGCTTTTTTGGTGCATTTGTTCTGGGCCTGGAGGAGATGGTTGGCTTAGGGTCTGGGATCAGCGTCCGTCGGTGGGGATTGTTGGAGGTATGGAAGCGAACGTGATCTTAGTTTGTGATGCGAGCAGTATTGCGACGTGCTTTCTGTTTCACGTTGGTGATCAGTGTGAGGTGGATGAGGCGATGATCGCGGCCTAGCTGTTCGTCAGATGCGGACCAGTCAGCTACGGATGGGCCGTGATGGAAGGCCAGGTCGGGATTGATATCACGTTCCACACTGTTACCGGTGCGAATGGGCTGTGTAGTGTCGTTGGCCAGTATCATCGACATTTGGGCGGTTGCTTGTTTGAGGAGACGCCCATTGTGTTGAGTGTTTGGGTAACCCCAGGAAACATTGGGGCTGTTGAAGTCTCCGACTAAGAGGATGTCGTGGTTGGTGTTGTTTACCACAAGTTTGGTGAGCCAGGGAGTGGGATTTGCGACCTTGCGGTCCGGTCGCCAGTACACGTTGACGATTGTGATGGAATTAGGGTAGTTGCGGGGTTGAAGGGTAATGATGACGTGCTCTTGGTGAGCGGTGTTAATGTCTGTCGCGTCGAGTTGTATCGACGGGTGTTCCTTAGAGATGTATGTTGTGACGAGTGGGGGGGTGTATGTGTTTTGGCTGCGGTCGGTTTCAGTGATGCTGGGTTGGGCGCAATATATATATATTGTGGAAGGTTGCGAGTGCCCTGCGTGTCCTGAAGAAGGATGACGTCATGTTTGCGATCTAGCGTTTTGAGGTTTTGGGTGAGACTGGCTCGTTTACGTTGTAGGCTGCTTCTGGGGGAGCGAAACTCTGGACTGGCGATTTAAAAGGGCGCCCGAGACTTGCCACCGACACCTCGGTCGCCGCGTCAGACCGGGGGACTCTCCCAACGCTCTGCCCGACTCGCTGACGCCGTCGCAACGCCAGGAGCGCGTCATTCGTTTGAACGAGAGCTGAACGACTGATGGATTAACCTACATATTAAACGAATTATACTTTAATCGCGATTAATTCTTTTAACCGGTTAATCGGTAAACTTTTGACGAACCAAAAGGAGATAAAAATGCAGAGCTTTAACCACGAAGACGTGGACGAGTACACCTGTATGAAGGGCAAACTTTAGGTCAAGTTTTAGAATAAATTGAACTGTAGGGGCGATATTTGTAACTTTAGGCAGTTGTAGAAGGTCACACGTGCCCCGGACAACTCAACGCCGTTCGAGTGTCCGTTTAGCGCAGAGGAGCAATCAAGGGAGGTCGCTCTTGCCGGAGAATATCAGCGAACCCTTTTGCATCATGCAGCTGAAATAATAATCTGTGAATCTGAGGGTATTTGAATTGTTCCCAACTACACTGCGAGTTTGATCTGAAATCAAAATTATATACTGCGCCGCTTGTCACATGTTAAAAAAATATATAATTTTTAAATGTATATTTTATGCATAAAAAAATAACGAGACCGATTAATCGATTAATTAATCGAGTGAAGGGTGGCGATTAATCGGGATTGGAGTTTGAATCGACGCCAAGCTTTAGGTCGAACCAATTGCCTGAGGTGGAGCCCATTGTCATTATGCTTCGACGTCACGCAGTGCACTTTAGCTCAGGTTTCTGCCGCCGTCTCTGGGGGTCTCAGGCATCGTTCCTGCCACGATTATTACCGCATGTTTAATTGATTGGTGCGGCACCCGAACGTCTGTTCGGGCTATAACGTGGTCAACAGTGTCTGAGAAGTCTTTGACGCTCATAAATAAAACTTCCAAATTTTCTTCGTTGTCTCTTTAAGGGATAAGAAAATATTTTATCATGTTCTTAAAATCTCTTAAGTACAAAATATACCGTACCGCGAGTCCTTGAGTCCGAGTGAAGCGTTTAAAGTGATCGCTTAAGTTGGCCTGGTAACGCATCGTGCTAGGATTTATCACAGAAATGCTTTAAAGTGGTGGAGGCATCGCACCAGAATTTTAAAAAACCCACTTACTTGAGTAAAAAGTAGAAAAAGATAGGTGTATTTTTTCTGCCTACGGCGTCGTTCTGCTAACCGCCTTTCTGTTACTGGCGCCAGAACCGACAGATGGCGGCAGCGGCGGCTTACGGAAGCTCAGCAGCCGCCCGATCGCACCAAGAACACACAAACTTTTCGAATCATAAAAGGCCGCGCTTTTTTTCTGCTTTAATGGTAAATGCATGTTTCCTTTTTTTGTTCCCAATAAAACTAATGGCCACAAAACAAATAAAACCTATGGTTTCTCGAGTAATTTCTTGTGGCGTGACCGGGCGGCTGCTAAGCTACCGTAAACCGCCGCGGGGAAGGCTACGTAAGTTGCCGGGGCCGCTGCTTCGTCTTTCAAACTGTTGCACCAGTCAGAAAGTTTGCGGTTAACAAACAGGCTCTGTAGATTGAGAAAACCAAGTATCGCTTTTTTTTAAACATGTAATTTTGTTTTATATAGTTTTGATGCGATGCTTGTAGAACGATATGTCATCAACCATATTTATGCGGTCACTTTAAAAGCTTCATTTGATTTTGGGGCATGTGGTAGAAAAATATATATATTGCAACTTCCTTGTACATCCAATTTTTAGAGCACTATACAATGCTATTTTCGTTAAGGTTTTTTTCCTCGTTGCTTTAGTTTATGTTCCAATTAATGAATTAAAAGTTATTTCTATTTTAAGCTGCATTACATTTACGACGCAGATAGTATAACTGATAACTTAGTAACTTAGTAAACGCAGTAAAACAGTGTAATATCTTGCACAACTTAGTAAAATAATACAACATTGTACTGACATGCTAGCTATTTGAGCAAAACATGGCTACCAGCACATCCTTACTCTTTGAAAGGTACGGCGAAACATTGAGACTTCTTAACTGCTTCTGTTATTTTTATTCAAATCATTACGAGCAAACCAGACCCTCATAGCTTTTCTCGTAAACAATTGTCGACTATCAGTTGACTTCTATTTATGCTTCAATCAATATTAGTATCTAAGTATGCTGAAGAAAGCGTTCTTAAAATTGCAATTTTATTACTAAAGACACGTGTTTTTTTTTTCCCCCTCTGAATAGTTTAAACTAAAAATTAATAAATAAAGGAAAATAAAAGTATTACTGCGTCAGGAGTTGTTCCGTGAAACAAAAACATAATTGCGCGACTACTACAATGATACATGCTATTACATTTTCAGCGTGAACCCTGATGATGTGCCCTATGTTCACAACAGACTAGCACGTGATTTTAAACAAAAGATGAAGAACTACCTAAGGTAAGTAGATAACGAGAAGGTGGTATAAAAATATAGAATATTTGCGTATAATATGTAGAAAATAAGAATACAAATATATCCGTTATGTAATGAGGATAAACTAGTGATGAAACTGAACAGTGGTGATTGTAGGGCGAGTTGGTGCTCAATTAAAGAATAGATTGGAGCGCTCCAAAACAATTACTAAAAGAGTTGGACACCACTAGTGCGAAGTTGTGTCCAGTTTTTCTTTTTTTTTTCCATCGCCGAGATTTACCATACTTTTTTATTTATTTATTTATATACCTCAAAGCGCCATTACAGGGCATTGTATAAGTGGATATACAAATATTATTGGAGGAACAGGCAAGGAAACACTTGACGCAAATAGCGTAATATCTATAAAAAGCAGCGCACTCAAGGTTGTATTATCAAACTAGTAAATTACACATAGTGACCGTTACCCAGATACAAGAGGCGCTTTAAAATAGCAAGCAGGTAGTAAGTGGAATAAAAAAAACAAATTTAAAACATCGAAAACATTTTTCACGAAATGGAGTATATAAAGTGATGTTTCGTTAATATGGACACCTCCATGCACCTTAAAATTGCATTAAAGACATTAAAAATATTACGACACTAAAAAATTAAAAACAAACAAACACAAAAGACGTTAAGAGACTTTTTGATCTTGATTTCTCGCACGTGGTTAAAGTTCTTTAGTATGGCTACTCCAGCCTTATCTAAGTTCATTGTGCCGGGACATACCAGAAATCTCCCTCCTTATGAGACAGAAGCACTTTGAAATTCCCACTTTTGAAATACTCGATAAATCTTGAAACCTTTAGTTTTTCTTCCAGTTAGGTCCATTTTTCAACAGAACATCAACAAAGTTATATACGCATCGTTTTCTGTCATCTTCTTGAGTTCTACCTGCAATGTCCCGAATAGTTTCCAATATATGTACTTTTCGCTTTTTCGATGCGGCAAAAAATTTGGGACCCTTTTCAGGGACCCTAATGATATCTGCAGGTGCCACCCAAAGTAACCAAATCGCCTTGCGGTTCCTCGTGTTTAGCACGAAGGGTTCGAAGATGTGGAATGTAGGTCCACCAGAGTGACCCAGTCATCCTACTTCCAGTCTATAGGAAGGACTTGTATCATGTAGCTTGACTGCAGTCGGGAGCATCGGTACTGGCAAGCAGTCGAAAGCACTCGCGATAAAACCGGACTTGCCTTCATAACTTAGAGCGGAGAATCTTTACAAATTAGCTTGCCGTGACGCATTGAGGACCTTGCGTAACCAAACAGACCTCCGACGGAGTATCCCATTGTTTCTGATGACGAAAACGTAGAATCTTGCTCTGCATGTAGAGGCCGCTATAAAATTGATATAGAAAGAAACAGGATCGGAATGGGGAAGAACACGGCAAAGGGACCGATGTAGAAGAAAGGAAATGTACTGAAATATCATTGTGGGCTAGTTGGCTCAACATACTGAAATTATAAAGCGCAAGGAAAAGACACGGATTTGAAGTAGACAGGACGGCGCTATACTTACAACTGGGGTTGTAACACAGAACTAAGGAAAAGAAGACAGATGTGATAGAAGTTATACTGAAGACAAAGGACGAAAATAAAAGAAAGAAATTAAAGAAGTAGTGGAATCATTGCAAATTAAGATATAATAGTCATGTAAAAATAAACAAAAAATTAAATGTTAAAAAATTAGAAAAAAATATTATATACAAAATATAACAGTCACCATTATTTCAACACGTCTTTGAAGGATGAAGTTTGAGATGATCATGAACCTGACTAGAAGCCTTCTTATCCCTCATGTAGGGTGGTGGAGGTATAATAAGGCGGTGGAGGTTCATAATAACGACACAAAAATGTATGTATTTTCCCAGTTTGTCCGAAACTGCTCTCCATATAGACCAACGCATGTCTAGAAACAAACCGGAGCGCCCCTAGCGGACGCCACCAGCGCCGCGCTTGCGCGATGCAGTGTGGGCAAGAAACTCGCCGTCGCCATAAACAAACCATTGAAATGCGACGTTGTCGGCGTCATTGTGAGTCCCCGTGCTCTTTTTCGCTTTGGAATTGTTGATTCTACGTCTTCCTGGCAATGTATGACTATTACGGCGGCCTCAGCGAAATTAACGAGGCTCGTTACACCGCAAAACTTCGCGCAAAAAATGTGACATGCGGCGATTCATTCCGCATGGACGCCGCAGAATGGACGCTAAGGCCTGATTCGCATGATGAGATTCCGATCGCCATTTTCAGTCGCGACGTCGCTCGGGCTCCAAAAGCGTGAACCGTAGCTGAGATGGTCGACGTCGATGCTAAAAATCGCAAGCACAATTCGGACCGAGTGAATCAGGCACAGGGAGTCGATGATGGCCACTCGTAACAATAATCAACATTTCCTTTTAATGTACCGTTTACACCGAGCCTTCTTACCCCAACCAACCTTCAAACTTAAAAAGTATCTCGAGGCCTGCACTTGCTTGCTGCATCTGCTGCAAGTGTAGTCTTGTGCTAGGGGCCTGGTCAGGTGACTTATTGTCACCTTTTGCCTCAGCACCATGACAATTCTGTATTGTCAAAAGTTCCAATAAAACAAACTTCTTATCGCAATTACCAGGCCAACGTTTGGTCTATAGGGGCCGGCGTCGTTCGAAAGAGCAGGAGACAAGTAGAAACGTTTGTAAGAGAAGAAGACAGCTCAAACAATCAGGCGGCCGTTTGAACTTGAAGACGCACTGGATGTAGTCCGCAGGTGTTCCATACAACTTGGCGGTTTTCCCACGTTAATGTTGTAACAAAAAAAAAATGTGAATACCACGACCACAAGTATTCATGAATTCAACCCAAAGTGCTTCCCACCCAAGCAATCGTGGTCCGACGGCGTCTAGTTTTCCCTTTTCACGACACATATCCACGTTCTGGGACGAGCCAAGCACATGAAAGCTGACCTTCAAACCCTTCTCGACACTTTTGGTTCGGCTCCAGTCGCAGCGTTTTGATGAGAAGGCACGTTTTTATCTGCTTTCTTTCAAAACAACGCAGTAATGCACGTCTCGTATGGTTAGCGTCGCCCACAACCGCAGACAGGAAGTGGGCTCGACGTGCCACCACCACGCCGTGACATAACAGAGTTAAGTTCATGTGTGTAGCGGGGTGTCCATATTAACGGGGCTCATATTAACGAGGCATAATATACGCAGATATGCGAAAATGCTTGAATCACGCGATTTTAGCTTCTGTACCACTTCTGTAAAAATTACCTATTGATAAAAATCTCGAACCATGCCAAACAAGTTTATGGCCTTTGCCGCTCCTCGAGCCACAATTCCTTCGTCAACCGCACACTACGGAGGAGTGGTAAACCATTCCCGAAACCAAAAGCCGATCTCAAAAGAGCAAGTTGGAAGCAGCCTACTTGGCTCATTGTTGCACGGTAACCAGAAATTATCGCGAAGCGTGAAACAATGTTAAGTCGCTTGCCACCAGATGGCAGGGTCAAGCAGAATGATTGCAAGTAGCTGGGCTAGGTGGCGCTAGGTAACCGCCCAACTCATATGCTAGAAAAAAATATTTTTATTTATTCATGCAACCATCGCGCTTCGGGCCCTTCGAGCACCTTTATTATACACGCATGTCCATACTACAAGCATCAGCGGAACAAAGAATGTTTCACGGTACAGATCCACGGCATAAACAAACATCAATATAACTGCACACTAACCCGATTAATACACCTTATCTCTGCGTTTCCGTCTTTTATACTGGTCGTTTTGTGCGTACTGAATTTCTCGGTAGCTGTCTAAGCAATAAAAAATATTCCCAGCATGGTGATTTTTTTCCAGCAATGCCATACCTCTGAGAGAATTTTGAACGGCTCAGAGAATGAACCTCTTAGTAAAACGTAAACGCTCAGGCCGTAATTATTTGAAAGCCAATAACTCAAGCCGCTCCAATGCGGTTCCAAGCTATGTGTCTGCTTCCCCGCAAGGCACATCGTAGCCAGTATTTTTATTGTAGTAGTTGTTTTTCTATTTGTGCAGTTCGCGTGCGGCTGCAATTGTCGTCTTCAATTAATTTTTGTAGAGGGGGTATTCACTCAGGTGGAGGCGAAGCTTCATGGACGGAGAATTTAACTTTCGATCAACTTGAATGCACTCAAAGCCGCGACTTGCGGCAGGTAATAAGTGTGCGGAGCTACACGCCGTGGCGAGCTCGAAAACTTCTAGCGCTTATCCCAGCGCGCCACTTGGAGGACAGTTTCTCCAGGAACCGTAGTTGCTGCTATGTTGCTGACACGCAGAAATACAGAACCAAGTTGATTGCCGGTTGGCACGCCGGCATCGGAAAACAGACCAGAACTGAGAACAGAAGGTACCCAGGAACCCGGCAGCAAAACCTGCTAGTCTTGGACGCCGTTTCCGCGGTTTTTAGAACGTTGTTAACGTTGACACGTCGTTCCGCGATCGGGAGGCGGCCATCTTACCCCAGTGTATGTAGCGCGGCTAGCACTGATCTGGAACTTCGTTGTTTCTAACAGCTTCGTTCTTTCTTTTGTCCTCGTCCAAAAAAGCGCTACCATGCCTTTGGCAACCCAAGACCAATGCCAACTAGCCCAGCATTCAGCTTTGATTCGTTTGCTCGTATGATAAAATTAGTGGTAAAAACATCAATGCAACCGTAATGCTCTGCCCGTTTGGACTGGGATGCGCAATTAAGAGCGGATTTTTCTGCCGCTGAAGTTCAATCAACTCAACAACATTTATTAAACAACGCTCACGACGTGCACGAAAAACGAAACAGAAAGAAGATGAGTCGGGAGGGCGGAAGCTTTCCCCCGTCTGCCTGGAAAAGGAGTAAAAAAGTCCTCCCTTCTCGGTTTCCACCTGGAGGCGCGTCAGTAGAAGGGAGGAAAACGCGCCGCCTGCTAACTTTTTCCTTCTGGTTTTCCTAGAGTGTATTGCCGTTTCAGGGTACCCGAAAGTAAA